GTTTGTACAGTAAATGATCCCGAAGTGATAATGTCATGAAGAGCATCACATATTTACATACTTTACTAAAATTAGCTTAATTTCATTGCTAGAATCAAACTCTTCGAAGAAAAGATCTAAAACAAAGACAAAGTCAAAAACACCAATTCGCTCTTTCTCCGTCCACATCTACAATAGATTTGATATACATACTACGTTGTGCTGCTGCGCTGGTCGGGATTAGTCTGAACTTTTTAACAAGTTAGTACTACTCTATTTATCTTATTTTCCAATACTTTCAGGCAAAGCAAATGATAGGTCAAAATTAAAAAAATATTAATTTTTATGTAAACATATATCTTTAATATTTTCACTTACCAAAAAAGGGTCAAAATGCCCGGTCAAAAGGTTGCAGTAAAGACTCTCGAGTTCAGAAAAGTAAGATGTATAATGTAGTGTAGTGCGCTCGTACGCGCTGCGCTGCGTGTGTACATGTACTGTACTTATGCATGTTCAGTTATATGTGTATGCATAGCATTACGTACATGTATGCATACACGGCTAGCTGGCACAAAACCCTGGGTCGGGCTTCTAAAATGGGACATGAAGCATGATTTGACATGAAAATTGACGGGGCTAAAAATGAACCAATCAAAATGAGCTTTATATGTATGAAAAGTTTACGTATCATAATGTCATTTTCTGGGATTGAGGATTTACAAATTTGACGCAAAACGCGTTGCTGCAAAGTTGAAGATTGGTATATTGAAAGGCAATCGAGCACAGTGCGACCGATCAATGGACATTATGTATGAGAAAGTAAAAAAAGTTAAATGGATTGTAAAGTTTAACGTCAAAATGACGGAAGTTTTTTTTCAAGTAAGGGCATGGTTTTACATGGAATGTAAAGGAAATGTTTCCTTCTTCTCATATCTCGATTGAGGATATTATACTCAATTTCGATTTTTAATAGTAAAGAAGAGTGTAAAAAGATGTCGAGAATTTTATAATATGTCATGTAATATAAAATGCGCGCGGGTCGGTTGATCTCCCAAAAAGAGCGCGAAGGAATTGATATGTTGACCATTGATGACACGCCCATTTTCTGGTGGACCCTACCAATCAAAATCTATTTTATATAAGCATGATAAGTAGGTCAACCAATAGGAATATTTTATGCCATATCTGAAGATGCGCCTAGCGCATACTAATCTTGGGGGTAATTAGTTATTTGAGCACTTATTACGCGCGTCATCATTATGCGCTGTTGAATGTGGATCATGAAGACAAATCACGCTTTCACTATATTGGTTAAGATGAGAGCATTAAAATCGTCATATCCTAGCATGAATTATCTTAGAAAAATCTCATCTGTGATGTTTCCGGTCAACACACAATCTTTTTCTAACTCGTCTATTGGCACGAAGTTGGTTCTGGGCAAAAAATATTGCCGCCATTATATCACCACGAAAGATACAACAACCACCTACCTGTTGTAAATATTGTTCTAAATACCATGCAAGATAAGATAAGATACAACTTTCAGAATACCAACTATCTCGACATATTATCTCTCGTGCGCATATGCAAATAAGGATTAAACGCCACTTTATTAACAATACGCACAATTACAAGCTCATCAAACTACCCTTACAAAAAAAGTTGTATAGAATTCTATAGAACGCTTTATAGAGTTCTATAGAACTCTATAACATTCCAGATTCTCTATAGAACTTTTAAGGATTCTCTATAGAAAGCGGTTTCCTCTATAGAATTCTATAGAATAAGTTTTCTATAGATTTAAATTTCTATAGAAAAGTTAATTCTCTATAGAATTTTTAAGGTTTTCTATAGAAATCAGGGGCGGTATTCTGAACATTGTTGTAAGTTATGTGTTATCTTTTGTTGCATCTTCCAGAGATAACACAGCGCTAATATTGTTGTAAGTTGGTATTCTGAACATTGTTTTATCCCTGTGTTATCTCTTGAAGGACCGCCTCTATCTTATCCATATCAATTCCTTTCATAGCAAAAGCGCTCCTCACAATTTCTGTAAATTTGGCAGTTTAACGCTACGCGTACCGCCTTGACCGGACTGTGCGGTATCTGTGCAGTTCTGTGTGTAGAGAGGTCGGGCCGTATTCATTATTTCTTGGGGGTGCATAAATTGCTCTAATTATACGTACGCGTGTAATGCGCAAGTTTATTGTGACGGCACTAAACCTATCCCACTCTTTGTTCCCTTTTTTTCATAATGGTACTGACCCAATGAAATGGCCGATGCTGCATCATATTTAATTTTTTAGATTTCTCAATCTCAGATATAGTCTATACATTTTTGTTTGTACAGTAAATGATCCCGAAGTGATAATGTCATGAAGAGCATCACATATTTACATACTTTACTAAAATTAGCTTAATTTCATTGCTAGAATCAAACTCTTCGAAGAAAAGATCTAAAACAAAGACAAAGTCAAAAACACCAATTCGCTCTTTCTCCGTCCACATCTACAATAGATTTGATATACATACTACGTTGTGCTGCTGCGCTGGTCGGGATTAGTCTGAACTTTTTAACAAGTTAGTACTACTCTATTTATCTTATTTTCCAATACTTTCAGGCAAAGCAAATGATAGGTCAAAATTAAAAAAATATTAATTTTTATGTAAACATATATCTTTAATATTTTCACTTACCAAAAAAGGGTCAAAATGCCCGGTCAAAAGGTTGCAGTAAAGACTCTCGAGTTCAGAAAAGTAAGATGTATAATGTAGTGTAGTGCGCTCGTACGCGCTGCGCTGCGTGTGTACATGTACTGTACTTATGCATGTTCAGTTATATGTGTATGCATAGCATTACGTACATGTATGCATACACGGCTAGCTGGCACAAAACCCTGGGTCGGGCTTCTAAAATGGGACATGAAGCATGATTTGACATGAAAATTGACGGGGCTAAAAATGAACCAATCAAAATGAGCTTTATATGTATGAAAAGCTTACGTATCATATGTCATTGTCTGGGATTGAGGATTTACAAATTTGACGCAAAAACGCGTTGCTGCAAAGTTGAAGATTGGTATATTGAAAGGCAATCGAGCACAGTGCGACCGATCAATGGACATTATGTATGAGAAAGTAAAAAAAGTTAAATGGATTGTAAAGTTTAACGTCAAAATGACGGAAGTTTTTTTTCAAGTAAGGGCATGATTTTACATGGAATGTAAAGGAAATGTTTCCTTCTTCTCATATCTCGATTGAGGATATTATACTCAATTTCGATTTTTAATAGTAAAGAAGAGTGTAAAAAGATGTCGAGAATTTTACAATATGTCATGTAATATAAAATGCGCACGGGTCGGTTGATCTCCCAAAAAGAGCGCGAAGGAATTGATATGTTGACCATTGATGACACGCCCATTTTTTGGTGGACCCTACCAATCAAAATCTATTTTATATAAGCATGATAAGTAGGTCAACCAATAGGAATACTTTATGCCATATCTGAAGATGCGCCTAGCGCATACTAATCTTGGGCGTAATTAGTTATTTGAGCACTTATTACGCGCGTCATCATTATGCGCTGTTGAATCGTCACTGATTTCACGAACCGGCACGCGAAGCCTCACAGCGCGAAAACACGTTTCCGAGATAATCGTGTTTAAAGACAGCGGCCAGTTTAAAATGCTCATTTGAATACCGTACTTTCATTTAATCAACATGGAATTACATGTGTGATAAGAGTTGAATTTTTTCTTTCATATGCACTCAATATTACAGCAAGAAACGAAATACTTTTGGTATCATTGGGTATCATTCATGGTCAAATACGTATGCCGGTTCGTAAAATTACTCGTATGCGCATTTTGCATAGAGCGCGTAGTTAAGAAAAATTTTACGAACCGGCACGCGTTGATCCTGTGCCGGTTCGTAAAACTTGCGCCTTGTGTAGCTGCGCGCACTGATGAGTTTTACGAACCGGCATATGAGTTTGATGGTGCATTAAAATGACATTCTCAATACGAATTGTCACGAGGATAATTCAATCTTTTTCCTATACCGCATCACACGTTTAGCATAATCTTTGATATCTCACTTGAACCTGTATTTATATTTTGTTTACTTTTTTTTTTCTCTCTTGATTTTTTCATTTGTTTCCAATATTCTACCCCTTCTCTCTCTTTCTATTTCGCATTAAGTATCCCGTATTTTCCTCTTTAAAAAAAATTATATCTGAGTGGTTCTCTTCTGAATTCTATCATGTTGGCCTACTAGTCATATAAACGATTAACGTTTGTAACATATACTATATGATTCGTAGATGATTTACGTTACCATAGTATCAGGACAATCACCCCCTAAAAATTACCTCTCCGGGAAACTACCCCCCCCCCACATACATGGACAATAACCCCCATCCCCTGAAAATCACCCCCTATTATTAGGACAATTACCCCAGTTCATTAAAGGGGAAGTCGACCCTGATAATAAGTTGGTTTTTTAATAAAACCAGATTTGTTTTCTCTCGGGGGTTAATCGTCCTGTGTGTGTGTGGGGGGGGGGGGGGGTATTGTCCAAGAGGAGTAATTTTCAGGGAGGGGTGTTGTTTGATGTTATACCTTCATGGTTTATCAAGTAATTTCACCAACTCTTATCACAAAATGTCCTCATCTTGGGCAGATACTCAATACTGCAATCCCTCTTTCTTCACACATGCTCTCTCTTCATTCCAATCTCTCTCTATCTTATATAACCTTTTACATATTCCTATCTCAGTCATATCCCTCTTTACCTCAAGGAAAGTAGAATTTAAATTCAGATAGGTACATTGTATCTAATTTACATATTATCATATTATTTTCAAGGTACCATAATGTGGGGCACGGTGTAGTTATATATTTTACTGTTACAGTAAAGAGAAAATTCGCTCTTTGAAATTCATGGTTTAAATTGATAATATACATATTTAATCCTCATTTTGAGCAAAGAAATGATTAATTGTTTGTACAACAATTAATGTAACCATTAGAAAATGCTGCATAGTTGTTACAAAACACGATTGTAGCAAAACTACAAGAGGCATGCTAACAATCTACAAATCGGCGTAAAATTAAGCACAATATATTTGCACAATACAATAATATGTTCATCCTATTTTATATACATGTATTTCAATTTTTATTACAATTTATACTAAATGCATACGTGTGCACATCTGGGGTGTCAAAAATGTCCATGGATTTGCATTAATATAAAGACATTTTATTTACACAATTATACCATTTGATGGAATTATGAAGCCAAAATGAGGTTCATGGACAAGTTGAAAACATTGGCAAATTTCAACAAGTTTCTTAATTAGTACAAATACGCCACAGAAAAGATGATTCTTGAAGACTTAGAAATGATGCATACAAATAGTACACATTACCCATATTCTTTAAATTTTGCAATGAATATGAATATTGTAATTTTGAGATGCAGCTAATATCTACTTACTCCATATGACAGCTCATATATTTTTCATGCATAATTGACTACATTTCTTGCAGTATATGCACAAGGAATCTGCAGCATAATACTATTTTTAGAACAGGAAATAACTTTTTCAGATAACACAAGCAAAGCGTACTTTCACATGAAATCTACTCTTAATTTAATTTATCTATAACTAAGCTAGATTACTCATTACTAAAGAAACAGCATCAACAATGAACTGGATCAGAGAAGGTGATTATCCAGTGCCCTTCCTGATCAGTTTAGAAAGACATATCAGATATATTTTAGAAATTCTTCAGATGATATGCCAAACACTGAAAGCTCAAATGGGAATAGAATATACATTCAGAGTATTTCAGATATAATTAAACCAACTTGTTAATATTTATTACATGAGTTTATTGCTCCCCAATGAAATATTGGTGTAGATCAGTCACTTGAAAGACAATTGATGATTAGAAGTTTGCAAGGCCACTATATACATATTATGTCAACAACGCATTCTTCAACAATACATTTAAATCCCTTTAAAATTTGTCAATGAAAGCCATTTCACAAATGAACACTTCAGCCCCCATCAGAAAAGATCCACCAACATGAGAAGAGTTACTGTATGAAACTGAAAGCATTAAACAATGTAAATCTAACAAAATATATGTCCAACTAATAAAGGTAGTGGCCCTCATTCTAAAGCCTTCTAACTTCTATGTAATTTCCTCAGTAGATGAAAAGTCAAATCTTAGAATACACAATCTTCCTTCCTATGATTTTTTCCTTTAGCTCTTCAATTGGCCCCCACCCAGGAAACCTCTTTAAATTATCATGTATTATACAATGTTGTAGCATGATTACTTGTTATTGTATTAAGTTGTTGAATTTAAATGACAATAAACCTATTACATTTCAAGATCCTGGTGGAGGCTTGCAAATGAAGGCTACAAAATAAACACGAAGAAGGTAATGTAATTTTCTGATAAAGTCATACTATATGTTAGGATGTTGTAGCATGAGTACTAGTTAAGTTGTTTTGGAATAACCAAGTGTAAATAACAATGTTATTTTGAACATATCTTTTACTTGTAAACCTTGGACAAATTAAAAGAATTATGTAATATATATATAGATGTATATAATTTGAATGATTATGATTCAAATTACATGAATACAAATTCCAATATAACAGGTGAAACATCTGCTGTGCTATTACTGACCAACAGCAGCTAACAGGAAGTTCTCTGTGTCAGATTCCACTTTGTGTACTTCATCCTCAAAGTCTGTATCCAACTCCATGGGTTTTGTTTCATTCTGCCTTTGGGATGTCCTCACCAGGTCCGAGAACTTTAACACAGAGAGCAAAAAAGTTTGGGAGCAGTTTAGAAAAGAATATCACATATGCAATATTCCTCATCAGTCTTGGTTTATTTATTTGGATGGTTCATTGAATTTAATAAATCTTGCTTTGGTCTGAATTACTGAATATGAGGTTGTAGCAGCCACAAACGGATATTTTTTTACAAAAATATATTCTAATGAAATCAACAAAATGTGTTGAAGTTGTTCTAACACATACATCATGATTCAACAAACTTAGAAAGTGCAGTCAAAGTTAATGCATAAATTGCAAATCCTAAGCTAATTTCTCTAAGCTGCACTGTACACTAACCAAAGGTAATAAAAATAGACATCCCCTGCACAAAAAAAACTTAATAGAAGGACACTTTTTAAATATCACTCAATAGTTGCATTCAGGAGGTGTAAACAATCATGTAACTTACCTAAAAACCAGTGACCTGTTGTCCATGGGTTTGGGATCCCTTGGCTCTCAACTTGTTGAGCAATTATTTGTGGACCATTGTTCTAATAGCAGTCAGTGTGTGGGCTGTCAGCAAACTGTGGGCTATCCTTTTGTAGAACTGGGGCCAATTGAATCACTGGAAATAAAAAAAATAATATCATTCATTTATTTCATTTCGTTGGGAGCATAAAAATACAACAGAGGAATTTTGAAATGAGACAAGAAAATATCATGGAATACTATATACAGATAAATGCATGTATGCTGGAGTAGGTACATGTGTATAGCAGCCAAAAACAAAACAAAACAACAACTTCATATCAGGCTTACGCAGAATCTAAATACATGTATAATAAATTGTGAATAAAAACTGAAAGGTAGTTATACAACAATTAATAATTTGATAATCCATATTCACTTTGCAAGCAGATTCAACGTGAATGTCAAGTATTGTCAATAGAGAATTTAAAGAAAGATACATCTGGTAATTCTTTAAACTTATTTTTACCTAACTACTTGCCAAGTTCTTATTACAATATTCTAATCACTTGTGAATGTTGTTTGATCACAATTCATAGTTTCAGAATAAAATCCAGACACAGTCAAACCTGCTTTAGTGACCACCTGTCTACAAGGACCCCATTTTTTGTTTCCTTTGAAAATGGTTTCTCATTGAAACATGTACTAAAGGAACCTGTCTACAAAGACCACCTGTCTACGAAGACCACTTTTTGTGTTTCCCTTGGGCGGTCGCTGTAGGCAGGTTTGACTGTATTCACAAACATGTACATATAAATATATGCTTAAAATATACTAGTTGGTGTAATGAATATTACCCAAAACTATAACTTTTCTTTAACTGGAATGAAAATTGCATGATTCATATTTCAAAAACTTACCATTCTTTAGGACAATGATATCTTTCATAAAATTATACTGGAAGGTGGTAATTTCATTTATTTTCAGGTATGTATGTCAAACTTCAAAACCAATTAAAATACTCAGTATTATACACGTATCTAGTTACATTAACATAGGCTAAATGTATATCTTTGTTAGCTACAAAAAAAAAATAGAATGAGGAATAACTAACCACCAATCTGTGAGCTTTAAGTTGGCTGGTCTTCAATCAAAAGGGGTCAATGTATGGGACATTACATCCTTGCTGGACCTCTGATGGGCATTTCAACTCTGTCAGGAGCATTTTTAGGCTGTCAGTCTGTGGGCAGTCAAACTTAGTATCATCGGTCATTGGGCGTGAACGTATCTGAATAACTGCAAAGCAATACATATAATATTTGTATTGATTATTCAGAATGAAACAGAAATAATGATAAATTAATGGACTGCATTGGAAGCATTCTACACCATAAACATATTCTGTTTGCTTAAATATCACTATACCCAGAAACAAATAATTTAACTAAAGTTACTATGGAGATAAACACACCTAATAATTATTTTTTTATCTGGCTGGTACTGCCCCCCCCCCTCCTCACTTCGGGGTCAAAGGGACCGCAATTGTGATCCCAAAATCTCCGGTAAAGAACAATAGTGAATTGCATTAATTCAACCCAGTGTAATGATTGTAGCCTCTCAACATAATCCCAATTTTTAAAAAGCATATCAACTAATCTATTTTACACACTACCAGTACCCAACTGCAAACTACGAGATGTACTCTGTAACTCAGTTTTGATAACAGCCTTTATAGAAAGTAATTTGGATGATGTGCATTAACGAGAAGAAAGTATCTGAATAGAAAAATGTATTACTAACCAAGCTCAGCTAATGGGATGTCTCCCATATCCATAGTGTGTACAAGTCCAGGTTCCGACACTGCCAACATTTTCCCCGCCACCACCTGCTGCCCTATTTCATTTTCACCTAAGTGCCTCTCCTTGGTACCGAATTCTTTCTCCTTTTGATATCAGTCAAGTTAGTAGATTTGTCCCTGTTCTACGGGACAAGGCTATCCTGGATAAACTCCATCTAATGTTTGAATAAAGGTATTTATAATAGCAATAGTTTATAAAGAAAATAAAACCTGATATTTGATAATCGTATCTCTAACACTGGCAAACCTACCAAGTGCTAGACCTGACCTGGTGAAGGCATGTGGTTCTACATGTACAATAATTTTAGTGCACTAAAGTTTAGACCCAGTCAGACTGTTGAATTATATTGTTTCAAGTCATTTCTTTCACTCTGCTCTAATTAATCGTGACCACTATGAGAGACAACACACCACAATATCCTTGTTTAGTTGCTGAAAGTGAAACAGCTTTCAATGAGTACGAGTATAGATGTACGGTAGACTTTATTACCGAAGATCTGCACTATGACAAAATATGGTCATACCTAAAACCACTTATACTTATAAGGATGCAAAGAAAGGACTTACATATTTGACCAAATTATGCAGGTCTAAAGTGAATTTGAAACTAAAGTAAAGGTAAATGTGATGGTGATCTTTGGTAGATGTTGATGCAGTGTACTCACTACTCACTAGACTAGTCACTATATAGTGGCAGTGGTATATTTCTACAGCAACAGATACAGAACCCATCTCTGAAATCATGCCAGGTTTGCCACATCACATTAATTTAAATTCCAAACATATACTGTAGCCCACAGATTAGTAGCAAATAAATTGGGTCTGTTGTTACTACGATAACCCCAGAATCTAATTTAATGGGTCCCGTTCATTGAGCGAAACATTTTAAAATTGTTTGCATGCACGTGCTTTGTACACTAACATAACCCGCTACATGTGGGACTGGGTTTACGAAAGAGGAAATAATCATAGGGTAATCACCAATTTAGGAGAGGTTTATTTACAATTTTATAGATAACTCAATCACGACGTGCATACATTTTCATTGAATCGAGAATAAAATAAACCTCAACTCACCAATTCCACGCAGACTCGAAGTTTAAGCATCAGATTTCGGTGAATCCTATTCTGCTAGCAGACTAGTTATAGCTAGGCGTGCCGGTTCGTAAAATCAACAAATTCCTTTTCGCGCGTTAACTCGAGCTTTACGAACTGGCATACAAAGCGCACATATTTTATAAAATCGAATAACTTTTTAATTAAAGCGTTTTATGACCTAAAATTTTGCAGAAAGGTTGATCATGGTAATATCATTCAGAATATGTAAAAATATTAAAATCGAAAATTTACACGAAAAACGCTTCGTATGCCGGTTCGTAAAATCAGCGACGGAATGTGGATCATGAAGACAAATCACGCTCTCACTATATTGGTTAAGATGAGAGCATTAAAATCGTCATATCCTAGCATGTAATATCTTAGAAAAATCTCATCTGTGATGTTTCCGGTCAACACACAATCTTTTTCTAACTCGTCTATTGGCACGAAGTTGGTTCTGGGCAAAAAATATTGCCGCCATTATATCACCACGAAAGATACAACAACCCCCTACCTGTTGTAAATATTGTTGTAAATACCATGCAAGATAAGATAAGATACAACTTTCAGAATACCAACTATCTCGACATATTATCTCTAGTGCGCATATGCAAATAAGGATTAAACGCCACTTTATTAATAATACGCACAATTACAAGCGCACCAAACTATGAGCGCGGGCGCGGCCAATGAGATGAGAGAAAAGATACAACAAAAGATAACACAAAAGTTACAACAATGTTCAGAATACCAACTTTATCTTATCTCCAAAGATACAACAATATTAGAGATAACACAGGGTTCAGAATACCGCCCCCGACAAAACCGGTTGGGACATGTCTGAAAAGCCAGACGGCTGACTACGCAAGGGAAATTAATTCTCCCTACACATAAAAAAAAAATTGTGTAAGTTTACTCATAAACAAGTGTTAATTTACTGACACTATAATGACACACTAAATGAGTAAAATTTACTCATCCAATTTAGTTTTTTCTCTTGGTACTCACCATGTTAGTTCCTGTTGTAATGCAGGTAAGTGAGTTTTTACAATTGACACTATAATGACACACAAGTGAGTATTCTTCATGAGTATTCTTCAACATACTCATCACACACAAAAAAAAATTGTGTAAGTTTACTCATAAACAAGTGTTAATTTACTGACACTATAATGACACACTAAATGAGTAAAATTTACTCATCCAATTTAGTTTTTTCTCTTGGTACTCACCATGTTAGTTCCTGTTGTAATGCAGGTAAGTGAGTTTTTACAATTGACACTATAATGACACACAAGTGAGTATTCTTCATGAGTATTCTTCAACATACTCATGATTGTGAATCTTGTTTACACACCATTACGAGTGAATAAAATAATTTGGTTTGGTGATCATGTGGAAAACTTTTAGCCCTAAACGCGCATAAAAGAATACGCACTAAACAACCGCTTTCACGAAGAGAGAGCGCTCAACGGCACTCTTGCGTGAAAGTACACTGATCGGACTAGATCAATGCGACAAAGCGGGGGTGCGAGCGCTTGCTCTCGTTGACTACTTACTAACACTAACAAACTAGAATTAGAAATGAAACTCACCTTGTTAAATAAATGCAAAATTACGGTAGACTACATAAGCAGAGGCTTGCCATCACACCGTTGATGAAATCGAACTCATTCCCTCTTCCAATGATTATACTGACTTCCCTCTAGTTGGAGTGCAATGACCCATTCGGGTGCGCATGTATAGACATGATGCGGTCTCCGAGATTTTGAGCGCAACGCACACACTGTGTATAATACGCACTGCGTTAAATATACACTCTGACCTCTACAGCGATTGCACGGAAGCTATATAACTGTGCATTGTTTGTACGGTACGGGCGCACTCGTTGTGAGTAGCTATAGCGCTACACTATCCCAGCCACCTTGGTTTAGTATGAAAAGCTACTTTTTATTGGTTGGAAAATGGCTACCGTTTCCTCTCCACGTATGAAAACAATCGTTATACCAACCCAAGGCGAAACTCCAATTGAAACCAATTGAACACCAATTGAAATTTCAATTGGTTTCAATTGGTTTCAATTGGTCTCAATAGGTTTTAACAGGTTTCAATTGGTCTCAATAGGTTTTAACAGGTTTCAATGGGACCTCAGATGTTTTCAATTGGTCCAGATTGGCCCCATTGGCCTAGGCCCCATTAGACTTTAATGGGTCCCCAATTGGTTTCAATTGGTCCGGATTGGCCCCATTGGACAAATTGGACCCATTGGCCTAGGCCCCATCAGACTTTAATGGGTCCCCAATTGGTTTCAATTGGACCAATTGGCCTTAATTTGGACTTCAATTGGTCCCATTGAAACCAATTGGCCAATTGAAACCAACAAATCTAGGCATCTCATGAATATTCATTATCACTTTACACGTGTCACAGAAAAATAAATTTATCATGATTTGTTAAGCAAATTATGACAATGCACATCAATTTTGTGATTTCTTTATTCCTTCAGCAATTATTAACTAATAGATTATTTTGTCTGATCATGTGACAATTACATTCACGTTTTAGCAATAGATATATTGATTTATATATTGATTATATGATTACTAACCAAGAAACAATATACAAATTTAGTATATATATTTGTACGAGCCAATGTCACTGTAAATGAAATTCTTAAATTCACTTCAAATGATCTTTGTGATGAAGTTAATGCAAATGAGATTGGAATATACCTAATTGGTGGACAATTGCCCATATCGATTATGAAGTATCAATAATTTATTACTGGTTCTTCTAACTGGATCGATTTACCAATTGAATCCCCATTGAATGCCCCCATTGAATCCCAATTCAATACCAATTGGCAATTTGGAGTAAATGGAAAGTGAAACAATGGGTACCCATTGAAACCAATTGGCAATTGGTCCCCATTGGAACCAATTGCCAATTGGTCCCCAATTTGGAGTAAATGGAAAGTGAAACAATGGGTACCCATTGAAACCAATTGGCAATTGGTCCCCATTGGAACCAATTGGCAATTGGTCCCCATTGGTTTCAATGGGTACCCATTGTTTCACTTTCCATTTACTCCAAATTGGATTCAATGGGGACATTCAATGGGGATTCAATTGGATTTTCGTCTTGGGAACGTAAAGGTGGGATGTCAAGGTTTCTGAATCCGTCCGAAGATTTTTTATACGTCACTCGTGTAAGATTTGCCGACTGGTTGACTGACCGAAACCCGACAAAAAAGGAGAAAAACAGTGCAATCTCCATAGGCAGGCTGAAAAAGTCAAAACTTTTAGTGAAAATGGCTACCGTTTCCCCTGAAAGAATAATCCCAAATTTAGTATCATTTTTAAGACGACATTTCAAAGTATAAGAAACCGTCCGAAGATTTTTTTAACAAATTTCCATATCCCCGTAATACCAGCAATTATATCAAAACATGGCTTTTTTGGTGTACGTTCCCCGTGCTTAACAGGATAAGCGACGAGGCGCAGAGCAGATGCGCGTAAGTTTTCCATATGCATAATAATTCCTTCGCGCTCCTTTTGGGAGATCAACCGACCCGCGCGCATTTTATATTACATGACATATTGTAAAATTCTCGACATCTTTTTACACTTTTCTTTACCATTAAAAATCGAAATGGAGTATAATATCCTCAATCGAGATATGAGAAGAAGGAAACATTTCCTTTACATTCCATGTAAAACCATGCCCTTACTTGAAAAAAAACCTCCGTCATTTTGACGTTGAACTTTACAATCCATTTAAAAAAAATTACTTTCTCATACATAATGTCCATTGATCGGTCGCACTGTGCTCGATTGCCTTTCAATATACCAATCTTTAACTTTGCAGCAACGCGTTTTGCGTCAAATTTGTAAATCCTCAATCCCAGAAAATGACATATGATACGTAAGCTTTTCATACATATAAATCTCATTTTGATTGATTCATTTTTAGCCCCGTCAATTTTCATGTCAAATCATGCTTCATGTCCCATTTTTTTAGAAGCCCGACCCAGGGTTTTGTGCCAGCTAGCCGTGTATGCATACACATGTACGTAATGCTATGCATACGCATATAACTGAACATGCGCATATAAGTACAGTACATGTACACACGAAGCACAGCGCGTACTCGTGAGCGCACTGCACATTTCATTGGGTCAGTACCATTATGAAAATAGGGGAACAATGAGTGGGATGGGTTTAGTGCCGTCACAATAAACTTGCGCATTACACGCGTACGTATAATTAGAGCAATTTATGCACCCCCAAGAAATAATGAATACGGCCCGACCTCTCTACACACAGAACTGCACAGATACCGCACACCCGGGGGGGGGGGGGTACTCAGATTATAGTCGGACGGGGGTGTGCGGCTGAGACCTCCGAACCCATATCCACATCCAGGGGGCCTTTTGCTGAAATAGGTACCCATGTCTAAGGATTTTTTGTCAAAAATGGACCCATGTCTAAGGATTTCAAACTTCAAATATTACATTTTTTAAGCTGTAATAATACACTCCAGCAAAGCATATGGAGAGTCAACGCTAATATGCATATTGACATCTAGTACTGCACTACGCGTTAATAGGCAGCATTTAAATACATAAATAGTCAATACACTCATAACACAGAGATGCACACAATCATGCCGATGCGGCTGATCGGCAAGTTCGACAGTGGACTCACAATTTGATTTTTTAAATTATTCTTTCTAACATCGGAAAGTTAAAAAATGTATATTACTGCTATTTAGATCTTATTGATTGTCACTAAAGTATCGATTTTTAGTGAAATTGGTTGAGTTTTACACAGTGGTGTTTGAAATGTTGAGAATCAATACTAATAGCACAGCTTTTAATACACAGCCAGGATAGTAATGCACCTATGTGTGTAATAATACAATGGCCAATAATTTTGCAGTTTCTCGATAAAGTTCTTTATTAGTAAACTGTACCATACTACATGTAGTTTACAAGTAGTTTACACACATAAAGATGAAAACACCATGCAACATATACTGTAGCACCTCTAGCATCTGTTTTAATTTGTAAAAATTCTATGCTGACTATAATGAGTACGAGCTAGACTTTTACTCACCACTGTCTTTTGTTGTGTAGAAACTTGAGAGTGATCCTATATATGTAGTATGAAGATGACAATGGCGATCGCGATGTGTGTTGATCAATATACAATGTCGAGTGTAACACGTTGAAGAAGAATTGTAGAAATTGACACTCCTAAATGTTGGGGAACAGAGGGAGTGTT